CATTAGCAGATTCCCAGAACAGTATGAGTGGATAATAATACTCTGAGTGCAGTATAACAGGATAATGATATTCCCAGAGTTAGTATTACAGAACTAGATATTTTCCGTGTATTATTAGGGGGTAATGATGTTCCCTGAGCAGTATTAGCCCTTCAGACTAGAGGCCACTAAATTCAGTTCCCGACATACATTGAGTGAGTAGATTCCTATTTTAAGTGTCAATATTTATGATCAGTCTGTCCAGGAGTGTTATTACACACATCTGGAGCAGATGGAACTTGATCCTTGGCCGTGGATTGTCCCTGCCTCTGGGGCCTGGAGGCCTGGGTTAAAGCCCCATCTGCACTGAAGGTGTGTAATAACATCTCTGAACAGATCGATTGGGGACTATAAAACGAGCGGGGCTCTTGCTGTCCAATGGTATTGTCCCTACCTCTGAGCCAGACGGCCAAGGATCAGGAGCATATGTAAAAGCCCAGTTCTTAACAAAAAGCCAAAGGCCAGTGAGCCACACCTGCTGTCAAACAACTCTGAGCTGTTTTGGTTCACCTCATCAGGAGAGCTGCATTTCAAACATTCGCACTCAAAACAAGTTGGTTTTAGGGGAGATCAGTTGTACTGTGCTCATATCGAGCAGGATTTTGTGGAATCTTGCACGTTGCGTTTCAGGCGGTGTGGCTCTTAAATTATCTCAATACAGTGTTGCATGAGCATGACCACAGTTTATTGGACATTGTACCTCAACATGCAATACTTTACCTTCATGGACTTGTGCAGGAATATACAGAACGGAATAGAACCCACAGAACTGCAGAATTGCTACAGCTCTGAAGGAGACCATTCAGCCCATCGTGTCTGTGCTAGCTCTCCGAATGAGCAATTCACCCATTGTTATTGCTCCCACCTACTCCATGACTCTGCTAACCCTCTCGGAGGCTTGGAGACCGCTTTGTGGAGCACCTACGGTCGGTTCATGACAAACGACAACACCTCCCAGTCGCGAACCACTTCAACTCCCCCTCCTACTCCTTGGATGACACGTCCATCCTAGGCCTCCTCCAGTGCCACAATGATGCCACCCAGAGGTTGCAGGAACAGCACCTCATATTCCGCTTGGAAACCCTGCAGCCCAATGGTATCAATGTGGACTTCACAGGCTTTAAAATCTCCCCACCTCCGACCTCATCCCATGACCAGCCCAGCTTGTCCCCGCCTCCTTGACCTGTCCGTCTTTTCTCCCACCTACGTGCCCCTCCTCCCTCACTGACCAACCCCCATCCCAACTCCCTACCTACACTCACCTTTACTGGCTCCATCCCTGCCTCCTTGACCTGTCCGTCTTCTCTCCACCTATCTGCTCCACTATCCACCGTCTATCATCGTCTCCCCCTCTCTCTATTTATTTCAGAGTCCCCTTCCCCTCCCCCATTTCTGAAGAAAAGTCCAGACCCGAAACATCAGCTTTCTTGCTCCTCTGATGCTGCCTGGCCTGCTGTGTTCATCCAGCTCCACACCTTGTTATCTCAGATGATAATCCTGTTCCTTTGCAAACGCCTCAGTTAAATCTGCCTCTCCCACTTTCTCAGGCAGCACATTCCAGAATTTAACCACTTGCTACATGAAAAAGCAAGTTTCTCCTCACATCCCAGTCAACACTTATATTCTGCTAATGTTGAATTTTAAACAATCTATCCAATCAACCAATTTTTGTTTCTTGAGTTTTGAGGACCATCCTTTGTCCTTTTGTGTTCTGGCCCTTTTTTATGGAAATATATGTTTGCAACTCTCTCCCAAACCGCTCTCAGTTTTGTCTGCAATAAACTACTCAGATATGTGTGCCAAGGTAGAATTGTTTTGGTCTTTAAAACAAGTTGGAATGGCTCATCCCTATTGAGCAATCAAAATCCACTCAAGGGATGGTCTTATCAGAATGTTAAGATTCCCATAGAAACTGATTAACTCTAAAAAAGAAATATTAATTTGCAGTGCCCAACTTAAAGTAATTGCACACCAACATTTCAAGTTTTAAAACTTTTACTGTAAGAAACAAATGAAAAGCAACATTGACTAAGCAATCCCATAAAATGGTGGAGAAAATCAACAGGTCTAGCAGCATCCGGGGAGAGAGAAACAGAGTTAGCGTTTTGAATCCAGTGTAACACTTCTTCAGGTTCTGAACTTTATTTTTCATCATTCATGAGATGTGGGCATTGCTGGCTGGTCTAGCATTTTCTGTTGTTCTTGAGAAGATGGTGGGTGGACTCTTTTTTTTCTCCACAGATGCTGCCAGACCCGCTGAGTTTCTCCAACATTTCCTATGCTTGTTGTAGCTTTCCAGCATTTTTGATTTCAATTGACTAAACACCATTTCAGAAACAACCCATACTCTAAACTACAGAAAAAAAAACTTTGTTACTATCTAACATGCCCAAAAACCTTCTTCCATGGTTATATTTTACTTTTTCCATTAAGTAAATACTCCATTTTCTGAGAACCAATCCAAAGTGGTTATTCATTCTTGAGGGGTTGCTCCTCTTCTACTTTCAGACCTGAATACCATGTAGTTTTATGTTTTTTAATGGCTCTAGATATTTTTGCCATTTGCTAACTATTTGGCAAAAATAATGCAAGATTTACGATTTCTCACTTTGAGGAGGGACGAGAAACTGGAATGGGTTCTTTCCAACATTAGCAGAAGAACAGGCCATTCAACCTATTGAGCATTTACTTACATTGTGCCTGATCCGTATTTTAACACACCTAGATCACTGACCTCTTTACCTAACAAAAATTCCACCAATCTTGGTTTTGCAATTAAAGTTCAGCCTAGTCAGTTTTGGAAAGGAAGTACTTGTTTTATGGAGTCATAGAATCATAGAGATCCACAGTATGGAAAAGGCCCTTCAGCCCATTGAGTCTGTGCAGATCAGAATTAACTACCTTGCTATTCTAATCCCAGTTTCCAGCACTTGGTCCTTACATTGTATACATTGGTATTGCAAATGCCCATCGAAATACTACTTCAATGTGATGAGGATTTCTGCCTCTGCCACCCTCACAGGCAGGGAGTTGCAGATTCCTACCACCCTGTTTCCTCATGTGCCCTCTAAACCTCCTACCCATTCCCTGAAATCCATGCCCCCCTCATCATTGATCCCTCCATCAAGGGGGATAGGCTTATTCCTGTCTACCCTGTCTATGCCCCTCACAGTTTCATACATCTCAATCACGTCCCCTCAGACTGCTATGTTCC